AGCAATGGTCAGGGGTAATGTCACAGTGAAATTTTTCGGAAAAGTCGATTTCGAAGGATTGTATCTCTTTGACTAAAACCTCTTTTTCATTTCTATTCAAAGAATCAAGTTTTAGAAGGCTTGTGAATTTCTCGGAAAGTTCTGCCCTCGCTTTGTTCACGTCGTCTTTATTATTTTTGAAGCGAAGTCTTTCTCTTGTTAAATTCAAGAAATCTGTCAACAATTGAGCTTTCGGTAGAAGTTCGTCGAGAAACAATTGACTATTGTGGCTGTTTTGTGTGGTTTCATCATCGGAAATGGCTTTGAAATCACTTTGAGTTGTGAATGTGAATGTCAATGGTGGGGGTGTATAAGTGTTAGAAGTGTTAGAAGTATAGAAAAGGCCAATCGGTTTGGTTGGTTTGGTTTGACGCCGCTTTCGCTCGGGCAGCACGGGAATGTCTTTGAAAAGCTAAAGTTTTCATTTTTTTTTCCATTATTTGTCTTTACCTCTTCTAATGCTTTCATCTCAACTAAAACACTTTCAGCATTCTTTCGATCTTCCACGGGAATCGTCGAGCAAGAGCAACTACAGGATAACAAAAAAATTATGGGCTTACTCTTTTGGCAAAGTTGTTGTCAAAGGTCTAATTTCATTTAAAAGTAGCGGGTGGCTACTTTGCGCCAAATTTTTTGCGCAACTATGTCTTTCGCGCAACCCACCATAACTTTCTTCCAAATCGACCAATCTTTATGGTTTTCGTGTCTTTTTGTTACACTTGTTGAGATTCACAAAATGACACCAAAATCATAAAGGTTGGCCCACCTAGAAGAAAGTTATGAATCATCTAGGTCAGGACCATCTTCCTTCCGACTCTTCTGATCAATAACTTTCTTCTAAGTGATTCTTTATCATCTTATCATCAACCAATCTTTATGACTTTGATTGCATTTTGTAGATTTCAATAAGTGCAACAAATGGCACTAAAATCATAAAGATTGGCTCACTTATAAAAAGGTATGGTGAGTTGCGCGAAAGATCTAGTTGCGCGAAAAAATTTGGCGCAAAGTAGCCACCCGCTACTTTTGAATGAAATTAGCCATCCCCCAAAAGTGCCAAGTGTTATCTAGAGAATTGAAGCCCTGAATCTTTGCTGCATTTATCTAAGATTCAGGGCTTCAATTCTCTAGATAACACTTGGCACTTTTGGGGATTGCTAATTTCATTCAAAAAGTAGCGGGTGGCTACTTTGCGCAAAAGTCAAAAGTCAAAAGTTGATTTAAGTGAAGGGTTGAGTTAAGCCAAGAGATAAATCCTTTGAGAGCTGTTCTTTGTGTTTACAAAGGAACCGACTCTACCAACCAGCGAATCAATTCTTGCAACTTTTTGACGTCATCAGATTGAGTTGGTGTGAAAAGAAGAAAGTTAAAAGATTGTATCCTTTCCATGAGTTGAAAAATAGTCAAACCGGCAGCAAAGACATCACCTCGATAAAGATCCTCAAATGGTTTTGGTTCTCTTAACTTAATTTTTAAAATATGGTCTTCACCTCCATACTCAAGTCGTTTTTCTCTTTGAAATCCGGTGGTTGATAAAGGGGTGTGCCCGGCATACCATTGGTTCGCCCGCTTTTCTCCTGTGTGATTATCCCAAAATCGCCAAGTTTCAACGTGAATTGCTTGTCGACGAAAATGCTAATGAAAGTTTTGTTAGAAATTTTTGAAAAGCGAATCAACTTTTGTGGTTTCACATCTCGATGAGCGATCTCGTTTGTCTTTAGATAGATGAGAGCGGTGAAGATCTCGTTTGCCCATTTTACAATTGTGGCCACCGAATAGTTGAGAGTCGGATCGCGGATCACTAAAATTTATCTAATAATCAAAAAGAACTGCCAATTTTGCCAACCACGCAGCAAATCTCCCTCCTCGCAATATTGCATAAAAATCGGGAAGAAACCCTCTTTGATGTTGTACTTATAATCACGTGGCGGATCCAAATAACTAACAATATTGCGATGAGCAAGTTTCTTCAGGGTCTTCAACTCCTCCTGTGCATTCCATTGATTCAACTTCATCACATAGGGACTAAAATCATCAGGGTGGGAAAGAAAATAATGCGTGCTGCGAATTTCCCAGTGCTGGAAATTTGTCAACTGTTTGCTGACGTAGTTCTGAACAAAATAAACTAAATGTTCACTAGGTTTATAATCGTTTGCCTTTCCAAAAGGCCTGGAGGGAAAAGGATAACAACTTACGGTTTGTATTTCTTCAGCAAAAAGCAATCCCCTTGTCCACCTTCTCCAATTTTCTCAACCATTGGGTCTTCAAGCATTTTAGATTCGAATGTTTCAAAAAATCAAATGAAACAGGGAAAATCAAGCAATTGTTGGAAAGCAATCAAGCAATCAAGCTTTTGATAAGAGTCGATGAGCCGTTTCCTTGCATCAATTTGGTTGCAAAACAAAAAAATCCAGCAAATAAAATACCGAGCGAAAGTCTGGCAAAGTGCAAAGCTTGCGAAAGTCACTTTTTCAAAAAAATCGAGGAAATTTTTTTATAGAAAATGCCACCCGTTCGTAGGGATTTTTGTTTTTAATTAAAATAATACATGTACACTTTATTTAAAAAAAGCTAATTTGAAGTTCAGCTCGCAACATTATACAGAACATTTTACAGAAACATCAAAAATTATTAGGTTGGCAACTTCGCCAGCAACAGAGCATTATCTTCTTCCCATAGATATTCGCCTTGGAATCGTTGAAACCATGGTTGACATTGACGAATCTGTATACTTTCCTCTCCAAAAACAGTGATGATCGTGCGATGAGATTCAGCTGGTGATTTTCCTTGTTTAAAATCGTAGAACAGTGCAGCTCGAATAAGGAATTTGTTGTCCTCCATTTTTTGCCAAAAGGCGAATGATGAAATTGGGAGCACTAAATGTTATTTATGCAGACATCTTTTACTTTGTATATATGCAAAAAAGAGGGAAGAAACGGCGCTTGAAATTACAAAAAACATATAAAGTAGTGACGCGTCATTATTAAGCGCAAGGCTTTACTATTGCAAAGAAAAACAAAGGTCAACCCAGAAAGCCAACTTTTCGAGACAATAATCGTGCTCTTCTTGACTGACTGACTCTTCTTTCAAAGCCGGACCCACGCAAAACCGCTGTTGAAATCTATGAAGAATTAAGAAATCCTTCGAAATTCTATCAATCCTCGTACTGTGCAAATCAGCTGCCCTATTTGGTAGACGCTCGGCCGGCAAAGAGATGCAAAGAAACCATTGATTTCTACGGCTTCGGCTAATCGATTTGCTGATGCAGAGATTCCCGTCAAAAGATGGAATGGGATGGAATGGAATGGAATGGAATGGAATGGGTTGGATGGAATCGTTTCTAAAGCGGCACCAATTATCGCTTTTGGTTTTTGTTTTGGTTTTTGTTTATGGTTTTTGTTTATGGTTTTTGTTTATGGTTTTTTAATAATTATTGGTTTTTTTCAAGAAATTTGCATATTTTCTAAGAAAATTAGTCTAATTTAAGGAGAAATTGCAAAATTTTGATTTTTGATGTCCAATTTCTTCAAAGAAACGCGAAAATTCGTAATATGAGCCCGTTTTTGGAGGAGGGATACTTGAAAATAGAGTTTTCTTAGGCTAAATGGATGGCTAGACGTTCAAAAATGCCGAAAAGTATTCAAATATTCTCTCTAAATATCTCTAAACATCTAAACAAGATATTCAATGGGTTTTTCTATGAAAATTCTGGTTTTTCTATGAAAATTCTTCTTTTTCAACTTTTCCTTCTTTCCACCGGCTCATCTGAAGTTCAGTTCTCGAAAAATGGTATTCAGATTTGTGATTTTGATGATAAAGCAATGATAAAGCGATGCTAAAGCGATAAAGCAATGATAAAGCGATGATAAAGCAATGATAAAGCGATGATAGAGCTAAGATAATGCTACCGTAAATACTGTAATAGTACCCCACCCCCATAATGACGGTGCGGAGTGTTGAGTAGTCTAGCTTTGAACGAGTTTTTCTCGACACTGGTTTATGCTACAATAGCAAAACAATTATCAAAAAATAGCTCTGAATTTCAGCTTTTTTTTTGGTACCAAAGACGCATTTTTTGAAAGTACGGGCTCTTTGAAAAAAATGAAATACTAAAAAACTTTTGCGACTACGCGACTGTACGAGGGGAGTGGGGTACTATTACAGTATTTACGGTATGATAAAGCAATGATAAAGCGATGATAAAGCGATGATAGAGCTATGATAAAGCGATAAAGCTATGATAAAGCGATAAAGCAATGATAAAGCGATAAAGCTATGATAAAGCGATAATAAAGCCTTAAATATCTAGCATGACATCCAGAATTACTCGATTTAAGGTCAAATTTACTTTTTTATTAGTCGAATACAATCGTTTCCTGAGAGAACAAATCCGGCTACACGACGAGCTTTTTGTTGAGCGAAAATACGATAAAAGCACCGCGCCGATCTACTCAATTCCGGGTTTGTTTGAAAGTTTTGGTCTGTTTGAAAGATTTGTTCTGTTGGAAAGACTATCGTTTTGTAATCTTAGATTTAATAGCTTAATTTACAGTTTAAATTCGAAACTTAGCTGATTGTTAGCCAATTTACAGCAAGGGATTGCTTTGGGTTGGGCTAAATGATGGATTTTTCTAATCTTTAAGCCGAAACGTTGATTGATCTTGAGGCTGACAGCAGGTTTTCCTCCTGCAGTACTGCAGAGCGTAGTTCCTCCTGCAGTACGGCAGAAAACGTTAAATTATGTTTTTCTCGAGCTTTACCACGACTTACAACTTTGAAAGCTCATTTAAAGATTCCAGAAGCAGCAATCAGTTGGAAAATGAGCTTAGAGACAGGAGAAATACTCAAGAATCACTTCCAAAAATTCCATACGGATTCATTGAGTTCTTTCTGAGCTAGACTCTCAGAAGTGAGTCGCTATAATCCTGCAGCGAGTCTTGCCAAACCCGTTAGCAATTGTAATGCTAAAGGATGATCAACGGTTCATGGCCACTTGGATGATCAACGGAAATCAGGGAAAACCCAAAAACTCTTTTCAGGCAATCACACCTCAGTGCCCCGTTTCAACGTTCACGTCAAGTTAGATTTCGTCAAATTGATGACCGTGGTGAGCTCAAATTCGACTTTTTCGTTCAAGTCGGCGAAAAAGTCGGTTATAAAATCGACGATAAAGTCGGCCATAAAGTTCACTAAAGCTTTTTCACTCATTCAATCAATGCCAAGCCAAGCTAAGCCAAGCCAAGCCAAGCTAAGCCAAGCCAAGCCAAGCCAAGCCAAGCCAAGCCAAGCCAATCCAATCCAATCCAATCCAATCCAATCCAATCCAATCCAATCCAATCCAATCCAATCCAATCCAATCCAATCCAATCCAATCCAATCCAATCCTTTCAGAACGAAGAAAGTGAGCAAATCGGGCTACTCCTGGAGATCTTCTATGTAAATTTTCGGAAATTTTCAGAGATTTTCTTAAATCAAATTTCATTTCAGAAATAAAGTTCAGATTTGGGTGGATCCGCGTCTTTCCTGGCGTCCAAAGGATCACGGTGGAATCGAGAGACTTTACGTGAACTATAAAGATGTCTGGATTGTGGAGAACACGATTTCGGAAGCGTATTTGAGCGTTTCTAAGCGAAAAGTATCGATTTCAGCTCAATTGTGGCTGACTATTTGGACGATCACCGGAAACCGGTGAAAATCTTTGCCAATGGGACAGTCTCATATCTGCACAAGTTCTATGCGGAGGTGACGTGCAAATTGGAGGTGCAGGGAGTATTTCGGAAGCGTATTTGGAAAATTAGCTATCTAAAAGTACTATTTTTGAATATTCGGACAAAGGGGGCGGGGCAAAGGAGGCGCGGCGCGTATAAAAGGTCTTTGTAGCCCCGCCCCTTTTGCCAATCCAACTTTGAACTCAAATATCTTGGGATTGGGCTGTCCAATCTAAATGTTCTTGACATCATTAGATGCGCCAAGTCTTTCTCTATCGATTGGTACCAAAACTATCAAAATTGGACAGCCCAACACCAAGAAATTTGAGCTCAAAGTTGGATTGCCAATGGAAAGGAAAAAATGCCAATGGAAAGGGAAGCGTATTGGAAAATTAGCTATCTAAAAGTACTATTTTCAGATGTTCGGACAAAGGGGGCGGGGCAAAGGCGGCGCGGCGCGTATAAAAGGTCTTTGTAGCCCCGCCCCTTTTGCCAATCCAACTTTGAGCTCAAATTTCTTGGTGTTGGGCTGTCCAATTTTGATAGTTTTGGTACCAATCGATAGAGAAAGACGCGGCGCATCTAATGATGTCAAGAACATTCAGATTGGACAGCCGAACACCAAGATATTTGAGCTCAAAGTTGGATTGACAAAAGGGGCGGGGCTAGGAGGACCTTTTATACGCGCCGCGCCTCCTTCGCCATTGGCAATCTAACGTTGAGCTCAAATATCTTGGTATTGAGCAAAATTGGACAGCCGAACACCAGGATATTTGATCTCAAAGTCTATTATATTTGCAATGGCTTATTCTCTGTTATTTTTAACTTTTGCTATTGCTATTGAGCTCAAATATCTTGGGATTGGGCGATCCAATTTAGATATTCTTGGTATCATTAGATGTACCACGTCTTTCTCTGTCGATTAGTATAAAAACAATTCAGATTGGACAGCTCAACACCAAGATATTTAAGCTCAAAGTTAAGGCCAATTGCAAAGGGGCGGGGAGTCCACAATCTGTCTGACAATGAGTAGATCTTGTAAATAGCCTAGTAAACGTCCGGTATCAAGCCTGATCCGGTATCAAGCCTGGTCCGGTACCTAGCTTACCCTGGATCTCTGCTTTAGTGCTAGGACCGACCCCAATTTGATCCGATTCTAGTGCTAGACTCAAACTTTGTCTCGCTTCTAAATCTAGAGAATCTTTTCAGCTCTCGCATTTCCCATTCGATCGCCAAGTTTGTCCGATTTTTATGATGGCCATGTCTTTCGATTTCACCGAAATCTCGATGACAACAGAGATTGAGGATATGGAATTGAAGTGTGCGGTGAGTGAGCTAAACTTTGATCAGAGCTAGATCTTGCCTTGAACCTGAGCCTTGTTTCAAGATCAATAGCTCCAGAATTCCAGAGCACCGCCCAATGGATCCTGGAAAGCGTCAAGACCGATGTGACCCTGTACAACTATTCGACGAATCTTCTCGATATTGTGAGTCGTCTAAAACTTGCTATAGTATCCCAAGGCTTGAATTCAGCTCAGGGTTACTGTAAGTGCTTAGCTCTGGTTACTGTAGGCTTCGCGATACTGTAGGAGCTAGAGAAACATGTATTAGGGTTTGATTTGGTACTGGATGAAGCCTAGTCTGGGCTAGAAGACTGGACTACGGGACTGAACTGGATCAATCCTGATCTGGACTAGGAGACTGGACTGGATCAAGCCTAGTCTGGACTAAGGACTGGACTGGATCAAGCCTAGTCTGGACTAAGGACTGGACTGGATCAAGCCTAGTCTGGACTAGGAGACTTGACTAAGAAACTGGACTGGACTAGGAGACTGGATGGACCAAGCCTGGTCTGGACTAGGAAACTGGACTGGATCAAGCCTGGTCTGGACTAGGAGACTGGATGGACCAAGCCTGGTCTGGACTAGGGGACTGGACTAGATCAAGCCTGGTCTGGACTAGGAGACTGGACTAGATCAAGCCTGGTCTGGACTAGCCTGGCCTAGACATACAACCAGGATTACTGTAACTCAGGAGGTTACTGTGCACCGTAGTTACTGTGCTACTAGGCCACTGTAGTTACTTCCACAGTTTGATTACTGTATTTCCTTGCAATCCTAGATTACTGAATCCCAGATACACTGTATAATTACTGTAGCTCCTAGAATGGGTCTCTGTGGATTACTGTAGTCTGTAGATATTGTAGTCTGTAGTCTGTAGTCTGTAGTCCTGTAGATATTGATTTCCAGGCCACCTTCAGCCTCTCCATTCGTCGTCAACCTCTCTACTACTTGCACGTGATCGTTCTCCCCTGTTTGATCATCTCGATTTTATCCATTGAAGGCATTTTCTCAGTGCATGAGGGACAAGAGAAGAAGCTTGAGAAAGTGAGAAATTTGTTTGAGAAATTTCCTTGAAAACTTCCTTGAGAAATTCCCTTGAAAAACTTCCTTGAGAAATTTGACTTTTAAATGCAGCTTCTTCTTCTTTAAATGACTTCTTTCAGCTTACAATCGGTTTGACGAGTCTGATGGCGATGACGGTTTTGCTGGAAATCGTCGCCTCGTCGATCCCAAAAACGAACACTTTCCCATTGCTGGGTACGATACAGTACTGTTCACACTTTGCTCTACGATTCTAAAGGGTTTAGACTTGGCCAAATACGGTATAGGACTGGGATTACTGAGAAATTGGGGATTATGATAACTACAGTAACTCGGTGGACTACAGTAACTACAGTAACTCGGTTGATCGTAGGGTCCGGTAATCTGGAATGGGATTACGGTAGGCCAGGATAGGGTCCGGTAATCTGGGATGGGATTACGGTAGTCCAGGAGAGGGTCCGGTGATCTGGGATGGGATTACGGTAGTCCAGGATAGGGTCCGGTAATCTGGAAAGGGGTTCCGGTGGTCCGGGATAGGGTCCGGTGATCTGGAATGGGATTACTGTAGTCCAGGGTAGGGTCCGGTGATCTGGGATGGGATTACGGTAGTCCAGGATAGGGTCCGGTAATCTGGAATGGGATTACTGTAGTCCAGGATAGGGTCCGGTAATCTGGAAAGGGGTTGTGGTAGTCCAGGATAGGGTCCCATAAGCTGGAATGGGATTACGGTAGTCCAGGATAGGGTCCGGTAATCTGGAATGGGATTACTGTAGTCCAGGGTAGGGTCCGGTGATCTGGAAAGGGGTTCCGGTGGTCCGGGATAGGGTCCGGTGATCTGGAATGGGAATACGGTAGTCCAGGATGGGGTCCGGTGATCTGGGATGGGATTACGGTAGTCCAGGAAAGGTTCCAGTGATCTGGAATGGGATTACAGTAGTCCGGCAGGTAATCGAATTGATTCAGGTTTTCAAAATCTTCGAACCATTATCTTCGAAGCTTCGAATCGAATGGCTTCGATTTCTAAAGTCAAATCGAATCGATTTGATTCGATTCGTTTTGTTTGGATTCGATTCGATTCGCTTCAAGACCCATTTCTAGTGCAGGGCTACTGTAAATGGAGACTACGATAGCTTGTGCCCATTCCAGTCCATTACAGTGCCCATTCCAGGGATCTACGTGACAATTTGTCTGTTCAACATCGGTCTCGCTTGCCTCGTGCAAGTCACGATTCCAATTGAAAATGAATTGGATTGGAGATTGGAAAGGAGATTGGAAGGGAGAATGGAAAGGAGAACAAAAAGGGATTGGCGAGAATGCGCGCGAAGAGTTTTCACTCGAAATTTCGCTTTACATTCGGTTTTTCAACTCGTAAACGTTTGCAATTTTGGCGTTTTGTTGTCATTTTGGAAATAAAATGGAAATAAAATATTAAAATCAAAAAGAATAAAGTCTAAAACTTCTAAAAAAGTCCAAAACCCTTTCACAATTCGTTTTTTCACAATTCTTTCACAAAAATAACAGCTAAAATTGAATCGATAAGTTGCGAATTGCGAAAAATTGGCTCGTTTTGAGGAATGGGATCATTTTGCGAATTTCCGAGGGTTGAAAATCAGCCGCCTGATTAGCTGCTCCTAATCGGATCACTCGAGAAGGTGAAAGTCTCTTTCTTGCTGATTTTCCCCGTTTTCCAATCATTTCCTAACGATTTTCTGTCTTTTTTGATTGCTATTTAGTGGACTTTATTGACAGTATCCCTTAAGGGGAGCAGGAAACACCATCAATCCTGTCCTCGACTTGAACTCGCCTCAATGCTCATAAAATCTAAAATCATCCTCGTTAGAGGTGATCCTGGAAGTCACACTACTTTTCAAAAAAGAGAAATGATGGGGTCACACAAGAAAAATAGGACTAAAGTATGCTCAGAATTTGTCTGGGGATACTGTAGTCCTCTGTTTGGCCAAATTTCAAATCTTTTCACATTTTCTTCAATCCTGGAAGTCACACTACTTTTTAAAAAAGAGAGATGATGGGGTTACACATCAAAACTACAGTATGCTACCGACTACAGTATGCTCAGAATTTGTCTGGGGATACTGTAGTCCTCTGTTTAACCAAATTTCAAATCTTTTCACATTTTCTTCAATCCTGGAACGCACACTACTTTTTAAAAAAGAGAGATGATGGGGTTACATATCGAAACTACAGTATGCTACAGACTACAGTATGCCCAGATTTTGTCTGGGCATACTGTAGTCCTCTGTTTGATCAAATTTCGGATCTTTTCACATTTTCTTCAATCCTGGAAGTCACACTATTTTTTAGTAAGGAGAAATGATGGGGTCACCCATCAAAACTACAGTATGCTACAGACTACAGTATGCTCAGATTTTGTCTGGGCATACTGTAGTCCTCTGTTTGACCAAATTTCAAATCTTTTCACACTTTCGTCAATCCTGGAAGTCACACTACTTTTTAAAAAAGAGAGATGATGGGGTCACACACCAAAAATGGGACTACAGTATGCTCAGATTTTGTCTGGGCATACTGTAGTCCTCTGTTTGGCCAAATTTCGGATCTTTTCACATTTTCTTCAGTCCTGGAAGTCACACTACTTTTTAAAAAAGAGAGATGATGGGGTCACCCATCAAAACTACAGTATGCCCAGATTTTGTCTGGGCATACTGTAGTCCTCTGTTTGGCCAAATTTCGGATCTTTTCACATTTTCTTCAGTCCTGGAAGTCACACTACTTTTTAAAAAAGAGAGATGATGGGGTCACCCATCAAAACTACAGTTGCCCAGATTTTGTCTGGGCTCTGTAGTCCTCTGTTTGGCCAAATTTCGGATCTTTTCACATTTTCTTCAGTCCTGGAAGTCACACTACTTTTTAAAAAAGAGAGATGATGGGGTCACCCATCAAAACTACAGTATGCTACAGACTACAGTATGCTCAGATTTTGTCTGGGCATACTGTAGTTCTCTGTTTGATCAAATTTCAAATCTTTTCACATTTCCTTCAATCCTGGAACGCACACTATCTTCTCGATATCTCGAAACAAGACGAAGCCTTAGATCAAAACAAAACACTTTTCTCTTTTCGGCTTTCTTTGATTGTGATCTGAGTGGGTCAATTCCTTTCCACTAATCCCTTTTCGCAAAATAGAAATCACCGCTTTTCCACTCATTTGTCAAACTTTTTTCCTTTTCACACCTTTTCCATTTTCCCCCTTTTCCCATCGCAATCCCAAAATCCCGAATTTCTCAATCTCAAATTTTTGAATTTTTTCCTTATCATCCCAATTTCGAAACTTTCTTTAAAAATCCCAATACTGACATCCAGAACCAACGCTTCATTTCTAATTTTTTATTTTTAAATCACAGATCTCAAGATTTAAAGCCAAACTCAATTTCGCCATATCAAATTTGGTCAAAAGCTATTTTAAAACCTTGAAAACGAATTATTTCTCCCTAGTGCCTGCCAGATTGAGGATTTTGCGAAAAAAGCAATTTCATTGGCACCATTTTTCGGTTGGCACCGTTGGCACCATCAAGTACCCTAAAGTCGCGAGTATAAGTTCTGTTTGGTTATCGCATGCAAATTGACGGCTGTCTCCGGTGCGGTGTGTCGAGGGTTCGAACCCCGCTGCAGCAGTACTTTTTTGCTTTTTAAGAACAATAATAGAAGTTAATTTATTGAGGGTTATAGCAATTTTTTGCTGTTATTTGTTATTGGAACCGTATTGGAACCGTATTAGATCAAAATAGGAACCGTATTGGAAGCGTGTTGGAACCGTCTTGGAACCGTATTGGAACCGTATTGGAAACTTAAAAGGAACCGTTTTGGAACCGTATTGGAACCGTATTGGAAACTTAAAAGGAACCGTATTGGAACCGTATTGGAACCGTATTGGAAACTTAAAAGGAACCGTTTTAGAACCGTATTGGAACCGTATTGGAACCGTATTGGAACCGTATGGGAACCGTATTGGAACCGTATTGGTACCGTATTAGATCAAAATAGGAACCGTATTGGAACCGTATTGGAAACTTAAAAGGAACCGTATTGGAACCGTATTGGAAACTTAAAAGGAACCGTATTGGAACCGTATTGGAACCGTATTGGAACCGTATTAGATCAAAATAGGAAGCGTATTGGAACCGTATTAGAACCGTATTGGAACCGTATTGGAAACGTATTGGAAACGTATTAGATCAAAATAGGAGCCGTATTGGAAGCGTGTTGGAACCGTCTTGGAACCGCATTGGAACCGTATTAGATCAAAATAGGAAGCATATTCGAACCGTATTAGATCAAAAACCGTATTGGAACCGTATTAGATCAAAATAGGAAGCGTATTCGAACCATATTGGAACCGTATTGGAACCGTATTGGAACCGTACCTAAATTTGGTTCCTTATCTTTCTAAAATGGGTTCGTTATCTCTCTAAATTTGGTTGAAAGTAAATGTTTCAACTTTCCACAAAAGAAAAGCTTTTTTTGTAGAGCAATGAACCGTATTGAAACCGTATTAGATCAAAAAAGGAGCCGTATTGGAACCGTATTGGAAACGTATTGGAACCGTATTGGAAACGTATTGGAAACGTATTGGAACCGGAAAGCGTGGCTGGGCGCGTCCGCCCTGCTCCTCTCGAGTGCTCAGTCTTATGGATCCCTCCCTGACCTCTTCATCCGTCCCTGGCCTCTTCATCCGGCCAAAGTCCACGTCGACGGTCGAAAGAGATGCTTTCCAGCGTCTTCTTCAACCCTATCGTCTGGATGTATCCATGCACATAACAAATAGCAATGGTGATAGACTGTCACCCTTTAGTATCCCGCGCTCCAAGAACAATAATACAACTTTATATAACAATAAAAATGTATAAAAACCCAACAAAAAGAAATTCAAAGCAATTAAAGCGAATGTAAATAAAGGCAGAACTTATACTCGAGACTTTAGGGTAATCATTTGTAATTTTTTATTTTTAAATCACAGATCTCAAGATTTAAAGCCAAACTCAATTTCCCGATATCAAATTTGGTCAAAAGATATTTTAAAACCTTGAAAACGAATTATTTGCCTCTAGTGCCTGCCAGATTGAGGATTTTACGAAAAAAGCAATTTCATTGGCACCATTTTTCGGCTCAGAATGGCTCTTGGCTCTTGGTGGAAAGTAGGGAAGTGAAACCGCAGAGCTGGTTTTTCTTACTTTCTTATTTTCTTCTTTTTCTCGTTTTTTTGATTCTCGAGACCTCTAGTGACATCCATAGTTTCTAAAAAAAATATGCAAATTTTATAGAATCTATTTTTTTCAGCAAAAAATTAGCATAGACTCGAAAATACCGTACCCATTTTTTCGTAACGGATCGGTAGCCTATTCTAAATCTCAGAAAATCTACAATGCTATCCAGATCCTCGAAAAATTAGCATCCCTTCCCGAGAAAATAATTCTAGTCAAAGAAAATCAACCAGTCCTAAAAGTGATATATGTCTAAAAATTTGCATGATCGGTAGCCTATTGTAAATCTCAGAAAATCTACAATGCTATCCAAATCCTCGAAAAATTAGCATCCCTTCCCGAGAAAATAATTCTAGCGCAAGAAAATCAACCAGTCCTAAAAACAATAAACAAATATCTAAAAATTTGCATTTATCTACGTAAATCTTGTGAAATCTTATTTTTATTTGAATTCCCGAATTATAAACCAACTTATCGCCTCAATCTTTCTCTTTTTCGCGTTCTCATTTGAACAGATCAATGGGGTAATGGGGAAAAAGAAAGGTGGAGAAAACAGATCTCGATCTTTTCCCCGCGAAATTTTTCCCCAATCCTCTATACACTTTCGTCGTGCATCATTATGGATCGCACAGTACAGAAAAGTGCTTTTAGAAAATGCAAATCTTTACTTTTCACTTTTGGCGCAGTGGTAGTGTTGGGGTTGGGGCGGCGGACTGATCCTGGGCCAGAGCCTGATCTTGATTCTGGTCCTGATCCTGGACCTGGGTCTAGGCCTGAGCCTGATCCTGGGCCAGAGCCTGATCTTGATTCTGGTCCTGATCCTGGACCTGGGTCTGGGCCTGAGCCTGATCCTGACCCTGGGCCTGTACCTCATCTTGTGCCTGAGCCTGGACCTGAGCCTTGTCCTGGACCTGAGCCTTGTCCTCTGACCTGTCCCTCTGCCTTCCTGGCTCTGAGCCTTGTCTGCTTGGCCTTGTCCTGGCTCTGGCCTGTCTGCCGGCCTTGTCCTGGCTCTGCCTGGCCTGAGCCTGAGCCTGAGCCTGAGCCTAAGCCTAAGCCCGAGCCTCATCCTGGGCCAGAGCCGGATCATCAGCCTGAGCCTGCGCCCGAGCCTCATCCTCATCTTGTGCCTGAGCCTGGGACTGATCCTGATCTTGATCCCTTGATCATGATCTTGATCCTGAGGCTGGACCTGATCCTGAACCTGAGCCTGATCCTGAGCCTAATCCTGAGCCTGAGCCTGAAGCTGACCCTGATCCTGAGCCTGAACCTGGTTCGATTCCCCGAGCTGCCACTACTTTTTGTTTTTCTCTTTTTTAAAAGTCTTTCTATAATCGTAAACTTTTCAGAAGCCTGGGCTCGATTAGTTGAATGGTGGTGGAAAGCTACGACTCGTCGCAACAGAAGATTCCACTGCTAATCGGCGGCCGGGAGCACTTGGTGAGTCAAAATGAGGGAATTCGATTTGAAAATAAGATTTAAATTCTAAAAATGGGCAAGCTGGAGGTCACACAACCTTTTGAGCGTGTAACTTTTTGGGGGGGAAATCGATTTCACC